CTCCTCTGCAGCTGGATACTCCTTGCTTGCTACTGTGTATTGCTTCAAAATAGCATCCATGTTACAGCAGGTGCCCCGAGGAAATTGATTTATTGGGGAAAACTTCAAAAGTAGAAAAGAGGAGAGAAATGTCTTGAGTTCCTTAAAGATGGTGGGGAGAGGAGTCTGCCTGTGGACTGATCAGAATCCAGCTGACATAGACATGGTCATGTGATCGTCTTTACAAATAGTGTCACTTTATTAGTCATATGGGACTATGTAATACAATGACAGGGCGGATCACGATTAAGTGGGGTGTAAGCGGCTGGATCTGCAATTTTGTTGTGGAATTAGTCTTTTTGAAAACTGAAGAGAGGTCGGTGTTTTGGAGTCATTGTGTCTTTTTAAAACACGCATATGTTGGTCCTGTGGATTTTTAAGGCAAAGTGTTGGTGCTGAACATAAGGACACATATTATGTGAGTTCAAAATCTTTTGGAAGACACTTTTACATATAGTTTTTTAACCTCCATCCCATGGGTGTATAGAAGTCAAGAAGTTTTCTCCCAGAAATTAATGCAAATATAAGAAACATCTGCCTGTCCTCATAGCAGATGCCCTGCTGCTGCCACAGCAGTTCTCATTGCAACTAGCATAAACTCGTAGTATCTACCATGCACATAGTTTAGACTAAAAGTAATCAGAGGGAGTTGGGCTTTTTAAGATTCTGGCTTTATTTTAGTAAAGGAAACCTGTGGGAGGAAGTTGCTGTGTCAGGCTTGGTCTACACTAAACCCCCAAATCGAACTAAGGCACGCAACTTCAGCTACGTGAATAACGTAGCTGAAGTTCGAAGTACCTTAGTTCGAACTTACCTCGGTCCACATGCGGCAGGCAGGCTCCCCCGTCGACTCCGCGGTACTCCTCTTGTCTAGCTGGAGTACCGCAGTCGACGGCGAGCACTTCCTGGTTCGACTTATCGCGTCCAGACAAGACGCGATAAGTCGAACCCAGAACTTCGATTGCCAGCCGCCGAATTAGTGGCTGGGTGTAGACATACCCTCAAACTCCTACACAACAGAAGTCCTCTCATAGAAGTGATAAATTGATAGCACAAGTCTATTTTCTGACGGGCTGTGAAAGCTGCTTCCTCTAGAATATTAAAATTGTATATGTATACATTTATACATGAAAACAATTTTATATTCTAAGGCGGGGTGGGCAAACTTTTTGGCCTGAGGGCCACATCGGGGTTCTGAAACTGTATGGAGGGCCAGGTAGGGAAGGCTATGCCTCCCCAAATAGCCTGTCCACCCCCTCCCACTTCTCACCCCCTGACTGCCCCCTCAGGACTCCCACGCCTATCCAACCGATCCCTGTCCCCTGACTGCCCCCGGGATCTGCTGCCCCT